TTACAATAGCCACACAAAGGATGAAATATCTAGGAATAAATGTAACCAGAGAAACAAACGACCTGTACAATGAAAACTACAAAACACTACTACAAGAAACCAAAAGAGATTTACAAAAATGGAAGAATATACCATGCTCCTGGATAGGAAGACTTAACATTGTGAAAATGTCAATACTGCCCAAAGCAATTTACACATATAATGCAGTCCTTATCCAAATTGCAACGACATTCTTCAAAGAGATGGAAAAAACAATTACAAACTCTATATATAGAAAGGAAAGACACCCAAGATTAGCAAAGCACTCCTTAAGAATAACAATAAAGATGGAAGCCTCTCACTCCTTGATTTCAAAATTTACTATATGGCTACAGTGGTCAAAAGAGCTTGGTACTGGTACAGTGAAAGATACATAGATCAATGGAACAGAATTGAGAATTCAGAAATTAGCCCATTCACATAGAGCCAACTGATTTTCTTTCAACAAAGGGCCTAAGTATATCCGATGGGGAGAAGATAGTCTCTTCAACAGATGGTACTAGCAGAACCGGAAAGCGATATGTAAAAGATTGATACAAGACTTATGATCCAGCAATTCCTCTACTTGGTATTTACCCACAAGAAGAAAGAGCCACAGTCTGAGAAGATATATGCACACCAATGTTCATAGCAGCACTATTTACAATAGCAAAAAGATGGAGGCAGCCAAAGTGCCCATCAACTGAAGAATGGTAAACAAACTGTGGTACATACACACAATGGAATACTATGCTACCTTGAAGAACAACAAGGAAGCTGCAAGCCACTGCATAACATGGTTGAACTTTGAGGACATTATGCTGAGTGAAATTAGTCACAAAAAGAGAAATACTGCATAGGACCATTATTGTAAAACCTTGAAAAAAAAGTACCCAATACTTAAAGGGGGGAGGGGGGATTGTCTTTGTTGGTTACCCGGGTATAGGGGTTGGGGCAAGTGGAGGGAGGGGAAGATAGAGCACAAGGTAGGGAATAGACACTGGATAGTTTGGGTGCTAGGGGGTAGGGTGGGCAATACACAAGAAGAGGGAGGGGGATGGAAGAATAAGGCGATGGGAGAACATTTAGGCAGGTTTGCTTGGGCTAAGTGGATCAGAGGTAAATAGTGATACTGTGCTCAACCTTGGAACAACAAGGATCTGGGATACAGGTTTGAATGGGTAAAAGAGAGGGAAAAAGATGCTTGGCTGTTTGAATTTTCGTTTACCTTGCCTACTATTGTAAAATAGACACTCGTCGGGAAGAGAAAGGAATAGCCAGAAGCATCACCATAGAAAGCTTGTAAGTCCGTCTTCAGTTTATAACGGATTAGAATACCTAAAATGGGGCTAGAACTTGCACAGTGAAGAAGGTTTTACATTGCATAGGTGGAAACCTGATCCCCATCCAGAATCTTCTGAGGTGGGAAATTTCCAGTTGAAAGGACAAGCAGATCAGCCTGGAGCTGCTAGAAGAACAGAAGAAACTTAAAAGACTAGCAGGAAAAGTCAAAACAATACCAGCAGTCTGATTGACTACTACAAGAACAAGCAAGTTGTTCGCCCCGAAGCCATCAAGGCAAGCAGTCAGGTCCCTTCAATGTAAGCCTCCTTCTACTCTGAGACTCAATGGGACTACACAAGCAGGCATGTGGACCTGCTGGTGACCATGTTGGTCTACCGATAAGGAGAAGTGGACAAAAAACAGCAATGAAGCTGTGAGCTAAGTCCGACCACATTCAATAGACTCCTGTCAACCTGGATTGAGACCTGTTTGGCCAGCAGTATGGCGAGACTTTGGGTCTCCTGGGCCCAGGGACAGAGACACGGCCACAGAGGACTGGAGCAGAGAGTGAAGCATCCAGCTGATATGAAGTGAGGGGAGATGCACAAGAACACCCATACTTGCAGAAAGTACCCACTTGACCAGGCTTCAATGGCTGGATGATCAGAATTCGACTAGAGGAAGACAGAAGAGGAAAATGAGAGTAATCTGTTACAGTATGATGAACTTGACCTATACTTAATGGAATTAGTAGCTCAAAAGAGGGAACGGATCTTTACAGCAAGGATCGTTCCCACCCCTTCAGTACACAGGGTTTACAGGGATGGGTAACTTAGACATTGGCTACCCAAATTGGGGGGCAGGGGGCTACAAAGGCAAGAAATGACTATCTTACAAGATTTCAAGAAGGAATCTATTTCCAGAGTATGTAGGGGAAGGTAGAATCTCCACTGAGTGGTTTAACCCAACCTGTCTGGATAGGGCTGGTGAAAGGAGATGGGAATAAGACTGTTGTAGTTCAGTAGTGAATAATGAAAATCCAATAGTGAATATCAGGACCGACTGTGAGTGTTACAAATGTAAAGGTAGACGTTTTGTAACAAAAGGAGTGGAGTGGGTGGTCTTGCAGTCCACAAATGGTAGTCCATGGAACCATCAAGAAAGAAGAGTGGCGTGCGGGACCCTATCCAGAGATGCAGTGATGCCAGAAATGGAGGCAGAGATGATGACATGGAGAGATGGAGTGGCTGGTGACTCTGGTCTCTGGGCGGGAGAAGGCCGAGGGGCAGGCTTGCGGGGTGTACCCTTTGGTTGTTTGAATGGTTATATATTCCCGAGTGCTTTGGTGTACATCCAAAAAAAAAAAAAAAAAAAACCCAAAAACGAAACAAAATGGAGGGAATGGAAGCAAATGCTTTTGAATGATGATGCGTGGAGGGGATTGTAATCATTGCAATGAAATGAAATATGATAGGATGAATGTAAAGTTGATGTTCGCTCATGTAAACTATCACTCAAGTCACAATAAAATTAACAATAAATGAATAAATATTACAGGTTTATTTAATTTAATAAGGAGCTCTGGTAGCGTAGTGGTTACGAATCGGGCTGCGAACCTTAAGGTCAGCGGTTCGAAACTACCAGCAGCTCCGCGGGAGAAAGATGAGGCATTCTACTCCCGTAAAGATTTACACCCTCGGAAACCCTGTACAGGGTCGCTATGGGTCGGAACCGACTCGACAGCACATAACAACATTTAATTTAATAAGGGAACTAGGCAGATGTCATAACCAGTTCAAAGAAGTAAAAATTAACAAGTTTATACTGAATAAAGGAATGTTCTAGTATGGCACCATAGGGTAATAACTGGACCTCAAGGTCGGTTTAAACCACAAGGTCGGCAGTTCAGATTCACCAGCTGCTTCTTGAAACTCTATGTAAGGTTACTACTATGAGTTAGAACTGAGTTGACGACACTTAACAACAACAAAGAAATGTTGGAAGTCACAGTGTGCATGTAGTTTACTAAACATTTGGAGTTTCAATGCTACCAGAGGTACGAGGTCTATCTGCTATTCCCTTTAACAAATGGATTTACCAGCTTACATGTTAGTACTCTGCCAGTTTGATTTTATGACATTCTAGATTAAGATTGACAAGCTTTATGGCTTTTAAAAAAATTTCTGTATATTTACTCGTTTATATAATTTCATGAATGTGAGATCATACAATGTGTAATTTTGTTTTGTTTTTGTGATTGACTTATTTTGCTCAACATATGGACTCTAGGTTCATCCATATCCCAAGATTTTTGGGGAACTTTGTGTGTGTGTGTGTGTGTGTGTGTGTGTGAATGGGTATGTATCACCTTTTACATACCCATTCATCTGCTGTTGGACACTTAGGTTGTTTCCATCCTTTTGCTATTGTGAATAGTACTAAGATGATGAACACAGGTGTGCTTAAGTCTGTCTGTGCCACTATTTGATCTCTATGGATATGTTGGTGTTGTTAAGTGTCACCAAGTCGATTCCGACCCTTAGCAACCTGTATAGGGTTTCCACGGAGCAGCTGGTGAACTTGAACCATTGACGTTGCAGTCCAAATAACTTTGCAGTCTGATGCATTAGCTCACAGCACCACATACCTAGGAGTACAATTGCAGGGCCATATGGCGGCTCTGTGTCTTGTTTTTTGGAGGCATTGCTAGACTGTTTTCCACAGCAGTTACACCATTTTGTATTCCCACCAGCAGTGGTTGGGAGTTGCAATTTCTCTACAGACCCTTTAACAAATGTTGTTTCCATTTTGATTGATCCTTGCATTTCCCTGATGGATAATGACAACGAGCGTCTTTTCCTGTATCTGTTGACTGTTTGAATATCCTCTTTGATAAAGTGTCTATGTCCTTTGTCCAGTTTTTGATTGGGCTCTATATGTCTGTTTGTCGTGATTTTTTTCTTTATATTTTAGATATTAGACTCTTACCAGCTGGTGAGCTTGAGGTTCAAACCAACTTTGCAGTCTAGTGTATCAGCCCACAACAATTCATGATCTGGGTGAGGGTGTTCTGCCATATGGTTGTGGGACTTCTCGATGGCATCATCATACTATGGGTAATCCTGGCCTACAGTGCTGGAGTCCCACGGCCCTATTGCGGCTGTGGACGGTCTGTGATAACTGACTTCCCCACCTGTCTGGGGAAGTGGCCTTCATCACACCAGCAACCTTGTGCTGCCAGGGCACCGACGGTTTGCCACGTGCTGCTCTGGACAATTTCAGCAGTTTGTACAGTCCTATCCCCAGCCTCACACTGGATAGTCTTTTCCATTTCACCTGGCTAATTAAGTCATGCTAATTGCTGCTGCTCTAGGCGGAGTTTCTTTTGCTCTAATTGGGAAATGGTAAAATTACTGTCTGCTGCTGAGCTGCGCCTCTCTGCCCTTGGGGCTCCTGCAGGTGCCCCGTTAACACCTGCTCTTGGCAGCTTCGCCCTGTGAGCATGTGCACATTCTCGCTGCAGAAGTTGTTTTGGAATGAGGTGCTGACTACTCCCTCCTCACCCTGCTTTACACACCTCCCCTCTCCCCCATAGGAAATTTCTTAGGGTTCCTTCAGTGTGTAAGCATTTTCTGGTTCTAGTTATACTTCTTCTATGGGACTCTAGAGCAACTCAGTTCCTGTTTTGTCTCTTGCAGGGCGGGAAAGGACGCATAGGAGTGGTCATATCATCCTACATGCACTTCACCAATGTTTCCGCCAGGTAAGATATCCAGATGCTGTCTGCAGATGTTGTGGAGCTGTGAGACCAAGTAGGATAGCGGGCAGCACCCTGGAAGCTGCTCTAGGTCCTGAGGGGACTCCCTAATTGGCTAACCTAAAGTGCTAGCTTCTGAGGCCATGTTCAGTTGGAGCTCATGCACGCCTGGAGAAGATCATTTTCTATCTCAGCAATTGTGGAAGATTGATACACGGAGGCATCAACAACATTGAGCTCACCGTCATTCTCTACGAAAACTAAGAGAGAGAAGTGTTAGTGTCTTTAACAGTAAGAAGTATCGTCTCCTGCTATGCCACTCCTACGTTGTAAATGGTAATGCTGACAGGCACCATCTGCTTTGTACACTGGGTCTTTGGGAAACTCTTTGTTAACCTTGTTTAATTCTCACAGCTCACCTGTGAGGCAATCATCATTGATTCTCATTTTATAGATGAGAAAATTGAGGTTGGGAGGCTTGCTCTTGCTCATGAAGCCTGGGACTGGGCAGCTAGGTTTGACCCAAGGTGGAGAGGTGGTGCTTACGCCCCCTGTATCTATAGTCAGCATAATGTCTGCAAGCCTCAGTTCTCAGAAGGTGGAGAAGCCATTGTGGCGGCATTTCCAGCCTCTGTCTGCTCACCTACATCATGGACCATGGATACAGCAAGGCCCAGGGACCTCGGCGGCCAGCCATCCCTCCTGGCACCAGGATGCACTGGGTCCACCCAGATGCCACCTCCTCACACACAGATGTCCATTCATGCTAGAAATTCAGTTAAAAATATATATATAATAATCCTTTATGGGTTTGAAATTTGCATCTGCCCTCTTTTCAATGCCTACTTTGTGGAGCATGAACTATTCCATTCGGAGGAAATATAAACCTATTCATATTAGCTGATAAACCTTTTCTTTTTTAGCATTAGGGAGTGAAATTTGACTTTCTGAATGTTTTCTCTGGAAACAAATTGAGGAGCCTAGTGCCTGCCAGGGAGGAAACCTAAGCCCCAATTGAAAATCAGATACCCTCTTGTTGATAATAAGTGTTTGTGTATGTGCCAACCTGATTCAGATTCTTGGTCACATTGATCCATTTCATTAGCCAAAGACATTTGGTCAGAGACCAAACTGAACCCGGTCAGATCTGAACTAAGATCACCCTCCACATTTCTGCCCCAACAATGCAGATCTTTGTGAACTTAAAGGCACAGGAACTGTGGAAAGCCATGTCCTTCAGAGAAAGGATGATGAGAAGTGGGCTTTTTTCTCACTTCCGTCAGATCAATAATACCATTTCTGGTATTATTATATTTATGTCTCACATGTTTGCTATCATTTGATTTACATGAATTTCTAAGTCTTGGTGTCCTCTTTATGGAATCCTGCTTTGGTGCTGTAGGATAAGCACTGGATCGTAGGGTTGATTTCAGCCACAACGTCAGCAGTTCAAACTCATCAACTGCTCCTTGGAAACCTTCTAAGCGTCGCTATGATTCGGAACTGACTCGATGGCACTTAACAGGAACAACAGAGTCCTCATCAAGCAAGTGGGAATAGTTCTACTTAGAGTTCTGTAAAAATGGAATGTGTTGTTGTATGTAAAGCAACGAGATTGTTGCTGTTGTTAGAGCTATCAAGTCAGTTTTGCCTCATAGGTACCCTGTATAGCGTTTCCAAGAAGCGACTGTTGAGCTTGAATTGCCAACCTTGTGCTTCAAACCAACCTTGCAGTGTTAGTACACCAGTACTAGCAATTCATCTTGTTACGATTGCTTTCCATATAATCACACCTTCATTTTTCACAGAACTCAAAGGTACAACTATTCCCAATTTCCAAATGAGAACAAGATTAATAAACAGGTGTATTAATAATAATAATATTATTATTATTATATAATAATAATAATAATAGGTGTGCTGCTATAGGATCAACACTGGACTGCAAACCACAAAGTCGCCAGTTCAAACCCACCAGCTGCTCCTTGGAAACCTTTACCTGGTTGCTATGAGTTGAAATCAACTCGATGCCACTTAGCAACAACATTAGCTATTATTAATGCTGTTGCTATTAATAGGAGTACTAGTGTTCCCGTACTTTAAAAATAAAGTAGCTTCACATTACAACAGTGTTTTCCAACTTTTCTAAATTAACACTATTTTGTAAATGTTTTCTCTTGACAACACCTAGGACTTCTGGTATGGCACTGTAGGATAAACACAGGACTACAAGGTCAGTTTGAGCCACAAAGTTGGCGGTGCAAACTCACTAGTCACTCCTCGGAGACCCAATACTGGGTCACTATGAGTCGGAACCAACTCAGTAGCACTTAACAGCGACAGCAGCAATGCTCCCTTAGATGAATATAATGCTGTATATTATACGGAGTCCTGGTGTGGCGCTGTGGCTAATGCGTCAGACTGCAAAGTCGTTTGAACTACAAGATTGGTGGTTCAAGCTCACCAGCTGCTCCTTGGAAACCCTATACAGGGTCGTTATGGGTCAGAATTGACTCAATGGCACTTAACAACAACAACATACATTGTGCAGTGATTGATTTTACGTATCTAGGTTGCTGGTTTTCTTTAGTATGTATGTTGCTTCTGTTACTCTTAACTGTAAAGCATAACATGATAAACACATTCCTCTGCTTATATCTTGGATCATTTCCACAGTCTTTTAGAGTAGGTCACAGGGAACAAACATTTTTAAGTCCTTTATCACAAATTTTACTCCAAAACAAAAACAGAAACTTTCGGTCACAAAGTAAGAGCAATATTTTTCTATGTACTCCCTGAGAAGATGTAAAAATAAAAATGCATAAAAATAAAATGAATAATATTAATGTTAATACTTATATTATGTATAAATGTTGACCAAAATGCATTATTAACACTTAGTAAAACAAGTGGATTCCAGAAAAAAAAAAGTGCTTAAGTGTGCATTGTTGTTGTTGTTAAGCGCTGTCGAGTCGTTTCCGACCCATAGCAACCCTGTATAGGTTTTCCAAGGAGCAGCTGATGAGCTTGAACCACAAACCTTGTGGCTCAAATAACTTTGCAGCCCAGCGCATTAGCCCACAGCGCTACACCAGGACTCTAAGCGTGCATAGATGGATATATAATATCCATAATATACTTTCAACTTAAATAAAAATAGATCCACTCAATATTTTGAATATTCAGAGTTTAAAAGAACTCTTCAGTGTGTGAAAGTCCTACCAACCCAAGCCCTTTTTGAGGCAAGTATAAGAATTAAGAGCCATGTTAGAGCATTTAAGGAAGTCAAATCTTGTTCAATTTAATTTTGAATAGTTGCTTTGTCCTTCTGCCTAAAACGCTACATTTTTTTCCCGAGAATTTTTTCTTGGTCTTGGTAGTGTCCACAATTCTGGGACTGTGTATAAATTTTGTCTGAATGGGCGTGTGTACATTTTCAAAATTTACACTGGATTTGATTCAAATAGTCTCAGGAGTTTGGACTTACCCTACTGGTGTTCCGCTGTTTATTTTCCAGGTGTAGAATACCTAACCTATGGTTACGTTGTAGTTACTGTTGTGTGCTGTCGGGTCAGTTCCAACTCAAAGTGACCCTGTATAGGGTTTCTGAGGAGCGACTGATGAGTTTGAACTGCCGACCTTAAAGTTCAAACTGACCTTGAGGTCAAATGCTTATCCTATGGTGCCATGCTAATCTCTAAGATCTGGTATAGTATTTCTTAAAGGTTCCTTGATTAGTACTCTGGGCATTGGGAATCTAGTGTTAAATACACTATGATGAGTAGCTGGATTTCCTTCTGTGCCACTAACCTTAGAAAACGAATTGGACTACTCGCTTTAAGATGCCATGATGCCCTCACGATGCTCGGCTGGTCAGTGGTGTTCTCAGCCCTTGTCAGCCTGGTGACCACTGGGTCACCAATTCTGCCACACTTGTCCCAACCTGGCTTCTGAAGCTTTGTGGGGTGGCCATCAAGTGAAGTGTTCTGAGGCAGTTCTGTTCCTAACACATATACATCCGGTTTGCAAAAGCTTTCTTATGACGCCAAACCGGGGTCTCCCTTGTTGTCTCATGTGGCCGTCTGCTTAAACTGCTCGTATTTGTTGGGAGATAGAGTGGGAAATGAGCTGGTTTGGGATGCCAGTCCTGCTGCCAGCAGCCCGAGAAACCTCAGGTAAGTTATTCTTGCAGTGGTGTCTGCAAGACATTTAACCATGAGACCCTGAGATCAGGTGATGACATTTTAGCTTCATTTCAGACCCCACTGCAGTATACCTTGCACTAAACTGAACACATCCCTGAGGAAATGAATACTAAGAAAAGATGGCAGAAGTGGGTATCCACAAGGTGTAGCAAAAGAATGGGTCCCCTGTCCACAAGGTGTAG